GAACTTGGGTTACAGATGGCTGTGAGCCACCCTGTGGGTGCTGGGATTTGAACCCAGCTCCTTTGCAAGAACAGCCACTGCTTTTAACCTCTGAGCCATCTCTCCATCCTACATTGTTTAGTCTTTTTTCAAATGTTTTGTTCTTTGACCTATTTAAATGAATGTTTGAGCTGGGGTCACTTTGCCTGCATTAGACAATGTAAGAAACGCTCCAGCCATTTAAAGTGGCTGCTAAACACAGATGTTCCAGTCTTGTGCAGAATCGGGTTCTTCTTTTTTTTTTTTTTTTCTTCAGTTCCCCACTCTTTTTTAGGGAGCTTTGTCATTACATGCAATGAATACAGTGTGCTTTCACTTCATACCCAGAATCCTACGGTTGAGTATATGAATTCCATATACAACCCTGTGCCTTGGGAGAAAGATGAGTACCTGAAGCCAGTATTGGAAGATGACCTTTTGCTTCAGTTTGGTAAGGTGAACCTTCTTTATCTACTTTAGCCAGCTTCAGGTCATTTGTTACACCAAATGAAAGCAAAGTGCTTTGTGAAAATGGACCTTAATTGTCACCCCCATCCCTGCCACCACCACCCCCCAAGTGTTTTTTTTTTTCTCCTTTCCATTGTTTTACCTGGTCGATTAAACTGGATAATTCTGAAACTAACCAGTTTGTAAGTTTTAAGTTAGCTGCTGTTTGGGGAGGCATGTACTGTGCCAGCCTGCTCTCTCTCTTCCTGGCCTGCACTTTGTGGTTTTGTTCAGTATATCCACACTGAGTGTGTATGCCTCTCACTCTTTAGTTGTAGATATAGGATTGACTAGTGCAGTACCACAGTGCTCATGTTCAAGTAATCCTTTCAGGAGACTATATTCATACACTTTTTACTGTAGTGCCTTGTAATTGTTAATTTTTTTCTGTGTCTTATTTATTGTCTTATTTATTTCTGTGTCTTATTTCTGTGTCTTATTTATTCTGTGTCTTATTATGGTGGATATGCAGTATGATAAGGAAAACATGGTTCATAGAAGGTTCAGTTCCAGGAATCCACCGTAGATCCACCCTCATGGATAATGGCTTCGTTTCATAGGACCTCAGCAGGCTGTCAGTTTTCACAGGTCTGGGGATGTAGCTGAGCCGATGAGGGCTTGCCTGTCATATCCTGGGTTTGACCGCAAAGCACTCCCAGCCTCAACAAGACTGCATTCTTCCTCCCGATCATTGTGTTACTGATTTACTCTCTCATTCCACATAGACACACACACAGAAGTTTTTATTGCAGCATTGTAGCTTGTTTCAGAATATGGAAAGAAACTAAATGCCTCCTCAGAAGAGAGTGGCTGAGTAAACTGTGGGCAGCCACACTTGGAGCAGTATATCCTTAAAGAGAAGAGGCATCCCTGTGAACTCTGTAGAGTTCTGTACCCCACAGGGCTCAGTGCTTTATGCCGTAGGGCCACGCCTTCCAGGGCTGCCCCTGTTTACTGCTTCTCTTTCCCTCCAGTTTATAAGATTAGCATCACTGAATGGTGCTGCATATTAATGTTAAATGATGGCTTTTTTTATTGTAGCTGAAGTAGAACCAAGATTGCCAAACAGCTTGAATTTGGAAATAGAAAACAAAGTAAGGATTTGTATTAGTTTTGTAGTTGATGATCAAAGATGCAATTGGAGGAGGAAGGGCTTACTCTGGCTGACCATTTAAGAGGACCATTCTGCACTGCAGGGAAGGCATTGCAGAAGCAGCTGGTCACATTGGGTCTACATCAGAAAGTCTAGGATAGGACGTGGGGTTTGGGTTAGGGTTGGAGAGATGGCACAGGAGTTAAGAACATACACTGCCCCTTTGGTTCCCAGCATCCACGTGGCAGGTTACAACCTAGTATAACTTCAGTTCCAAGGGATATGACACCCTCTTCTGGAGGCTTCTGTGAGCACCTGCATGTGTATATACATACAGACCAGCAGATAAACATACACAAAATACAAATAAAAGTTAAAAGCTTATTGTCCTCTCCCAGTAACCCACTTCCTGTAGTGAGTTCTACCTCCTAAAGGTTCTACAACTTTCTGAACATGACCACCTAGGGACTGAGTGTTCCAAACACATGAGATGACTGTTCTCTGAATTGAGGTCAGTGATGTGGCATTGTGTGTGTGTGTGTGGGGGGGGGCGGGGGTTTCAGCTTGGGCTCTAGACTCCGGGAGCAGCAGTGTGTCCTGGTTAGCTTAGCTGTTGGGTCCCAACACTGAAGAAGTGTCTTCATAAGTATCACAGCAGAACCCCAAGTGGGGTTGGAGTACTGTCCTCAGTCCTGCATGGAGGACAGTGTCAGCAGTGTTTGTTGCTATAGGTAGACCTGAAAGTTAATGAAGTCTCCTGCTGGTTCTGGGGTTTCTTAAGACTCACTGGCTCTATCTCTACAGGGTTATTTCTACACTAGATGTTAATGATGGAATTAAGATTAAATCAAGATTTTGTTTGTTTGTTTTGCTTTGGTTTTTCAAGACAAGGTTTCTTTGTGTAGCCCTGGCTATTCTGGACCTCACTCTGTAGAATAGGCTGGCCTCGAACTCACTGAGATCCACCTACCTCTGCCTCCAGAGTGCTGGGATTGAAGGCAGCACCACCACGTCCCGACAAGATTTTTTTTTTTTTGCCTAAGATTTTGGCTGCATCATAATATTATAATAAAATGTTAGTGTCTTGCCTGGGATGGGAAGGATTTGGATGTATAGTAGTCCTTATCTGTACTCCATCCTTAAAGAATGACCTGTCTTCCTCATTTGATGAAGGTGTGATTGAGTGTAACCTTCGGGGATGCACAGTTGTGATCCTGTGAATATAGACGTTATGAAATGGCTATTGCAGTCAAGCACATTAGCATCCAGCATTTACCCACCATTTTTATGTATGATGGGAACACTTAAGCTGTGCTGCGTTGGCACATTTCACATGTACACCAAGGCATCAGCTGTTGTCACATGGGTGAGATGTCCTGAATGTATTCATCTGAAGGGAAATCTTAACAGTCCTAGCACATGGTGGCCCAACTCTCTCTATCTGCCTTGGTAGGCTGTGTTTTAAATGCACTTCTGAGTGAGATTTTGTGTTTGCCCTTTGGTATTGGCAGGTTTTCCTTCACACACTGCTCTCCTCTTGTTTCACCCAGCAGGATTACCTGTGTCTGTATGTGCTATCTGCCATACGGAGGCTAAGGACACAGGCTGAGAGGTGGCTTTGTTAGGGTCAAGAACCTGGCTTGGTAAGGCAGGTGTTGAGTTTTCTCTTCTCCAATAAGTAACTGTATGACTTTTGAGTTGGTCACTAAGCTTTTTCGAGATTTATTTTCTCTGTGTCTGAAGTAGGAATAACTGTTTGCATTTCAGATCATTTGAGAGTGAGATGTGATGTAATATGTACACACTTGAAAGCTTAGTGGTGAACACTGGAGTCTCCCGCCTGTGTTTGGTTCAGTGTATCCATGCATACACATGTTCAGTTTAGCTAGCTAATGAAAGGCAGACTATCACACTCCATGAGGTCAAATCAGAGAGCGTGGATGACAAGTATGTGAAAACTGCTTTTCATCATTTTTCTCACTTGACCGTGGTAGGCACTTAGGCCTGTTGGTCCCCACTGTGCTGCTGTGAGGTGGCCTGATAATGATGTCCGTTTACCTTTTAGATGTAGAAGATCTTTATGAGCCAGTGTCGACTCCCTTCTCATACCCCAATGGACTCAGTGAAAGTACATCCATTGTGGAGAAATTGAAGCACATGGAGGCGCGGGCGCTGTCTGCTGAGGCTGCATTGGCTCGGGCGCGCGAGGATCTGCAGAAGATGAAGTAACTCCCTGTCCAACCAAATGCTGCTTTAGGTGTAGGGTAGTTACCGGCAAGAACACTTGGGATGCTAGACACTCAGTGCATATACTTACTTTAGGAGCATTAAAGACACGCAGCGTTTCATGGCGTGTGAATACAGATCACTGTAGCATTGCATTTTTATGTACTTGTACATACCTCATAATTACTTTGCATGTGTGGCTGTTCTAATTTCCTCTTGAATATTTGTTTTTAATATTTCCTGCCTTTCAAGTTTTTTGGGTTTTTTTTTTGTTTGTTTGTTTACTTCTAGTTGGTTTCGCCTCTTTGATTGTCGTATCCTAGTTTTTCAGAAACGGAAGAATTATTATTATTATTATTATTATTATTATTATTATTATTATTATTATTATATTTAGGTACTGGGAAAACACAGTGTTGAAATTTTGTTTTTAAAAAACCAAAATGTGACAGTAGTATAGAATTTAACCCAAGAACCAGATAGATGGGGAACGTTTTTCCTTGCTGAGTTGGCATTCTCCAGGAGTCCTGCATCTCTTGGGAGAACTTGTTAGTCTAGAGGTGGGCACAGGCCTTCACATGTGGATCCATAGCGTGTCCACCTCCCAGCTCCTCCCTTCTGGATCTGTAAGCTGGTCGCTAGTACCTGAGTTCCTATTTGATGACTGGCCAGAATGTCTGGGGCAGGGAGAGCAGAGTCCCTTCAAGTCCTGGTCCTTGTTTCTGACTGTCATGCTCGGGAACGTAGTCAGCTGTCACCAGCTCAACTTTCTGCCTTTTTGTGCTCCTTACTCTTGTGTAGCTTGTAGCTCACTAAGATGTCACCACCTGAGTGAGATCTGGAGTGGGTGGGGTCAGCTGACTTGGGTCTGCTCTGCTCTGCTCATTTAACCCGTTTCAGGAACATTCAAAGTTGAAATAGGCTCCATAGAACAGTAGGAAAAATACATTTGAATAAAGCAGTGTATTGACAGGTCACCCAGATATTACTTCAGATCCAGCAGGGGGCGCTGTTGGGGCTTCAGCTAGAAAAGGATTTAAGATGCTGGGCACACTGTCCCACTCCCCCTCCCCTTCCTCACCCTCCAGCCTTGCCTTTTCTCATGGTCCAATAAACCTGTCTCAAGGGTATATTTCAAATTGATTACAGACAATTTGCTCAGGACTTTGTGATGAACGTAGATGTCAGAACCTGCTCCTCCACGACTGCCATTGCAGACCTGCAGGAAGATGAAGATGGTGTCTACTTCAGTTCCTACGGGCATTATGGGATACATGAAGAAATGCTAAAGGTTGGACAGAGTTCATGTGCATCAGATCCTCCAAGGGAGAACCCTGTAGAACAGGCCTTAATACCCAAGAGTGAGTGAGTGAGTGAGTGAGTGTGTGTGTGTGTGTGTGTGTGTGTGTGTGTGTGTGTGTGTACACCTCTGGTGCTTAGATAACTGCTCCTCAGATGAAAAGATTACAGAGGTGTCAAGTCCCTGTGAATCCTATTAACTTAAATATTCATCTTTTCTTTATGAAGTTACTTTTTGCTTGAAATTGAACATTGAAAAAAAAAAAAACCTGCTTAGTGGTTCTGGTCTTCCCAGGAATATCGACTGTGTGAAGTAGGAATTAAATGACATGTTTGTTTTTTAACATGGAAAAGAAACACTTTTAGTTTTTAAAATAGCAATGCTGACTTGGTTTGGGCAAGTAATTATCTTAAATTTCTAATAGTTCTCACAGTATTCATGGTATGACTGACTTATAACCCACAAAATCATTGATAATATAGAAATGTTTCCTAATGTGGTCAGACCTGGTATTTGAATCTGTTCAGTTTTAATAGTCATAGTGGTAATGTCCATATAAGATAGAAGTAGTTTCTAACTATATATACTGACAGTACATTTTATCCAATAGTGTAGATTACAATAGTAAGAGTTTTAACTCAGCAAAACCGAATCTACCTGACTAGCATAAAATGGAACAAATTTTGGATTGTAAAATTGTTAGATATTTATCTCTAGGAATTTTAGATGTTACATTCTCTTTTCCTAAAATCAGTCAATAAAAAATCCTTCCTACAGCCTCCCTCCAGATTATTCTATTTAAAGTTGACCCAAGGACTTTAAAGCAGTATCATGCAATTACTAATGCCATATATCAGTTGCTGTCACCTGAGTAATGATGGTATAGCATTGCAGACAGTAGATATCATATAAATGAGTGAATTTATGTAAAGTAAATGGACATGCTGTTATTTTTATCTAAGTTGTTCTGTTACTAGTAAAGACTCAGGAGTCAGATTTTGGGGTTAAAAACCTGATAGATCAAAGAAGTGGAGGAGAAGGAGGAGCAGGAGGAGCAATCAGCTGACCTTCCCGTTTTTCCCAGAGACCCAGCAAGCACACCTCTGTCCTCTCTCCAGACCAAAAAGGACTGCGCATCTCCAAGTCTCTCCCTATTCCTTCATGTGTGTCTTCTCTGTCCGTCTCCTGGGTCCTCTGTATTCTCTGTGACTAATTCTTGTCAACTAGTTGCTGGCTCTGCCCCCAATCCAAGGTTAATTTTATTAACACAGTCCTAAAGTTGCATAGTGTGATCAGATATCCCAAAACAGCATGCTTCATATTCGGGGTAGACTATTTTCTGTAAAGATGATAAGCTGTCATCTAAGCCCAGTTGGTTGTTTTAGATCTGTCCACTTAGTGCTTCATGCCCTTTGTATCTTTAGTGTGGAACTTGTGTCGCCTTTTCCAGACAGGTCATGGTCACTGCAAGTCCTGTGGATGGAGGTGTTTCCACTGCAGTGACCAGAGAAGGCTATTTTGCATAAAACAGAACTCTGCCTAGGACTCATGCGCCTGCGTGTCAGCACTTAGAGACTGTGACATGTGACCAATGCCAGACTCCTGGATGCACATGGGGACTCCAGCTGGAAGGCTCTTTACTTTAGAGAACCATTTAGGTGCTGTCTCTGCCTCAGTTTAACTTCCTGTGGTACAGAATTACTCTTGGAGATGTGGATGGGTTTGATATTGGCAAAGTTAAGGAGTAGCATGCCCTGGAGCAGGTTGTATTTCCTGATTTTCACCAGAACAGCTCTCAGCACAAATGAACTGTTCCATGGTGTCTTGCTACAGAAAACCTACCTAACTCCGTCAAGTCATTTCAGAATGGGAAGCACTTAGTGTAAGGCATTTAAAGACTGACTGGTGGGTTTTCTTGTTTGGTCGCAGACATTTTATCGTAATTGCAATCTCATTTCTAGGGTTTGGATGAATGTAATTGTTCAGAGTTTAAAGACACAGTTGACAGAGGTGTGGGTTAAATGAACCTCAGACAGCCCTTGCTGCTTCGTGCCTTTGAAGAGGGGCTGTTGGCTGTGATGCAGGTCTCAGCTGCACCCCAGTCTGCCTGTGTTTGCTGTGGCAGTCGCTGTCCGGGTATGCAGGTGTTCTGTCACATGCTGTTGAGAGTGAAGTGTGGGTGCTTATTATGTTGTCTCCTCGCACCTGCAGCTGACTTGGGCTTTGTGTTCCCTTCCTACGCCAGGGCACCTTGATGGGTGGTGTGTGGATGTAAAATTGTCTCGGTGGCTTCTCTGCCTGAGGCTCAGCTGCAGTGGTTTGTTTAGAGGGATGGAGCTGAGCTCCAGTCACCTCCACACAGCCTCCTGTGTATCAGAGCTCTGGTTTTGTCCTTTGCATCTGGTTGATGAGAAAGACGCCTTCCAAGTTTTATTCTGTACTCTTGTTGGTCTTTTGTTAGAGTAAAGTCTTCAGAACTTTTGTTCTATTTTGAGGATTTTCTTTGTTATTTTGTTTGTTTGAGACAGGGTCTCCTGTAGCTTAGACTGGCCTGAGACTCTGTGTGTAGCCAAGGATGACCTTGAACTCTTGACCTTTCAGCTCCCACTGCCACATGCTGCAGGGTCACAGGCCTACACTGCCATCTTGGTTTGGAAGCAGTTTTTAAGGCGAGTTCTTTAGTAGCTTTCCTGTTCAGGATTGTGGGCTTTTTTTTTTTTTTTTTTTTTTTTTTTTAGCAAAACATCAGTTATTGAGCTGAGGCTGTGTGTGATGAGTTTCGGAACAGGGCAGGTGATGGGGGAGACCACAGGAGGAGCATAGCCAGGAGGCAGTGTGGTTAGGACAGCAGCTAGGATGCGTGGATTATTTGGAGTGTGGAGAGGCAGGGTGATGGGCAAGAGCCTTGCACACTGCTGCCCCTGGGACTGATGCACACTTAGAGTTAGTTCTGTTGTGTCAGCAGAAAATGTACAAGTGGTGTGCATTTAAAGGGGCATTTTATTTTTATGTCTTCTTTATTCTTGGAAAAGGCATAATCCTACCCACTCTCTCCTCCCCCCAATTTGCCCCACACCCAGCACTAATTGGACCAAGTGGACTCCCCCCCTCCCCCCAACAAAAAAAGAAAATTAATTTTGAAATAGGTCTGTTCGATGGATTTTAGAGGAATTGTCTTTGTGATGTAAATTTCCTGTTTATTTTGTGGGGAAATGAGAAGACAGGTCACTGGTGTACATTATTTAGGGAAAGATAACAAGGTCGAGTGGGCTCAGGACAGATTTGGTTATTTGTCTGAATCCTTAAAAGTGACACACACAGGTAACAGAGGGCCAACTGTTTTTATTTATTTACTTAATTTATTTATTTGTTTGTTTGTTTTGAGACAAGGTTTCTCTGTGTAGCCCTGGCTGTCATGGAACTTGCTCTATAGATCAGGCTGGCCTCAAACTCAGAGATCCATCTGCCTCTGCTTCCTGAGTGCTGGGATTAAGGTGTGCACCATTACTGCCCAGCAGACTATTTTTGTTTTTTATGTGAAACCCAAAGGTAGAATTTTTCACTTAGCGACACCTATCTTTACCATACTCATTTTTCCTCTCCTCATCTGCAGGCTGTGTGTGTCTGACTTGGGGATGCAGCTAGGTCACCAGCCAGCAGGAATGTGAGGCTGCTGCAGGCCTGCATGGTAACAGCTTATGAGGAACTCCTGAGCATGGAGTCTGGTCATGGATACTGCAGGCTTCACATGAGTTCCTTCTAGGCCTACAGGCTTTGAAGCATCATTTCCTACTGCAGACATTTCTAGAAACAAAAGAGTACTCTAAATCAGATGCTGATGTGGCTTTCTTAGAAAAACTTCATCAGTGTGAATTCATGATCCCCATACTTCACCTTTTCATGTATCTGTTTTATTTTTTCTGTTCCTAATTTTCAGGTAGCTTCAGTGTAGGGAGCCAGGCTCAGCTTATAGGGTGCCTTCTCTTACTATTTATTATCACTTGAGTCTGACAGTGACCATGTGTAGAAAGAGAAAGACATGCACATTTCAAACTAATGGCTAGATCTAACTTTCACTGATACTTTTCATATAAAGATTTTTATGTGTTGCTGCTATTTTCCTTCTTTATTGCTTTCTTTTAGAAAGAAAAAACATTAAATAGCTCAGTTTTCCAGGCAGAATGTAGCTGTAGAAGCTAGCAGTGTGTAATACAGTAGCCATAAGTTCATAGAATTCATTTGCTCAGACTGTCCTTGTAAAACACAGTGCTTTGCTCTCTACTCTAGGACAAAGTCCGCACAGAAAGCTACAGAGATTTCATATACCGAAATCCACACATCTTCAAAGATAAGGTGAGTGAGTGTCTTGAACCGCCCGTCCTGGATGATTGACTCAGGCTTTGCTTCCCAGGGGCCTTTGATGCACTGCTGCGTGGTGCTGTATTCTGATGTCCAAGATGCTGATGGGCTGCCATTCAGGGGGTCTTTTGTAAAGCTGAAAGTCGTTCATTACAAAAATAGAGCCTAGTCAAACTTCACCTATCCAATAGTCTATTCATTATAGTTTTTGATTTGTAGTGATTGTGTGCTTGGAATGTATCAGATCAACCCCATGGCAAAGCACACTTTTAGTTATTATTCTACTGTGTTGTATAGTTAAAAATTCATAATGTTGACTAGAGTAAAAGATAAGAGCTAGAATTTTTTTCTGTAAGATTTAGTCCTTTGTGAGTTAAAAGCTTAATTGGGACATCTTGTAATCAGTTTTAATACTGTCAAACTTATTTAAAGACATTAGTACATTTTACTTATTTCTTCTTCTCTCTCTCTTCTTTACATGTATGTATTGTGTATGGTGGAGTGGGCATATGCGTACCACAGAGTGCGTGTGGTGGACAGAGGATGGTTCTGTGCTTCTACCATACAGGTTCCAGGTTGTCAGACTTGGCAGCAAGTGCCCTTATCTACTGAGCCATCTCGCCAGTCCTGGTGTGTGTGTGTGTGTGTGTGTGTGTGTGTGTGTG